GACACAATTATTTGACGCAATTAATTGAGTCACTATTAAAACATATAAATAATTGAGTCATGACGCAATTATTTTTGTGGATTTTGGGAATTGAGTCAATAGCAAATAATTTATACCACATGTATAATAAATACTCAGCCAGGCAATTATCACGGGCGCACTTTAAAAATATATATATATATTTGATGATTTTTTTTCTTGGAATTGGTGGAAATGCCTTTATATAATTTTTGTATATTCATTTCAAGATTTAGGTTTATTATACTCATAATTCCAATGTTTGATTGTATATTATCAATTTTTATAGGCTTCCAGAAATCAAAGCAAATAGTCATATAACTTTTATGGATTTTTGACCTATGATAATGGAAATTATTCCCATTGTAAAAACCCTTTATTGTATCTTTTCCAATTGCTCCCATCCCAAGTCTAAGAATATCAGCCGATACAACATTACACATCCGATCTAAAATATAATCATTCGCACCCCGGATTACAGAAATAATATTCGAGAATCTTTGGCTTGAATCCGAGGAATATGATGAACGAGTAGAAGATGAAGAAGCCTCGCTTTGCTTCTCCTATTAGTATTCTGGACAAGGGAGTGTCGTTAATTGATTTCACTCTGAAGCGATGTAATGATTCTATTAATTGTTTCGAAATCAGTTGCAATTCGACTAAAATTATTATGGTAGGTTTCTAGAACTTGCTTGATTCGTTGTATTTTCCAGAAATATTATTAATTATGGATATGATATTTTGTGCTTCTGTTGCATAATTAGCGTCGCGGGAATTATTTTTTGCCATGTGATCGTTAATTTCGGCTCTAATTTCGCCGATTTTTGCATCGCACGCGGAGAATTCATTATTGATCTTTTGCGCAACATAATACAAAAAGAGACATGCGATGATGAACCTCATATACAGATGTTCATATGATTGCGAGGAAGTCATAAAAGGTATATTTTTCTGGGATGTTATATTGATACATTTTTGGATATGGTAGAAAAATCGATTGAAGATATTTTTTGTTGTAGAATTAATTTTATGCGTCTTTGCTACTATGCTCGATTTATAAGTGGAGCTGGTACAATGTGGCAAGTTTATTTTTGCTTTTTTGTATGCAATGCGAATAGAAAGAGACAACAGCAAAAATTTTTTCAAAGTTCCACTGATATCCATACTTACATCGCAATTGATTCAAATAATAGGTCTGAAAAATGTGAGAATGATATCATATATCCAGATTTTAATCTTCTACGTTAGTATAGCGAAGCTCCGTTAAAGTTATTGCTGTCCCATCTATTCCATACGAGGATCCAGAACAATAGTGTAATTAAATAATTAATAAATCATATCGAATTCAAAAAAAAATAAGTGGATAGTGTTTTGTTTTATTCCTTAACCTTTCGTTCATGGCGTAGTACGAAAAACCATCTGGCATGCTGTAGACTAGTGTCGATCATATCAAACGACAGGTGAGCTGTGAAATATAGGAAGGGTATTTATAAAAGTTTCCAACCATTACCGCATGAATATCTTTCCAAAAAATTAATTATTCTAAGGAATATGATCGAATATTTTGGCTGAAAGAATTAGCAAAACTAATGTCAGTATAGTTTGAGCAAAAAATATGAATCGTTAAAAGTAAACGTGTGACGTGATTCTAAAAAAGTTTGGGACGTAGCCCGTGATACATGATGACATTTCTACATTATGACTACAGACTATACCTGTCTATTTTTTCTCTTGACTATATCAAGTTTCCGCTGAATTTTTCTTGCACACGTCGCTTCTTGGATTCGGGTTCATCAATAGCCCACAACTATACAGATCACCTGCTTTATATTATCCCTCAAATTTTCTTGATTCCCCCTAAGTGCTTTTTTCGTACAGAATATTCCATGGCTAAAATAAATATCCAATGATTAACATCAGAAAAAATCACATGACCAAAATTCTGGATTAAATCTAAGAAAGATCACATACCCGTGGATACGATTCCATAGAGGTAGTCGTAGTCTTCACCCTTAAATGCCTCATCTGCCGTCTGCTTCTTGTTCATGTCGAAGTTGCTTTATATTTTGGAGGTAACCAATCTTAACATTTCGTGATTTTCCCTCCATTCCCGTTATTGCGTAATCCACTCGACCAGATGCTTCTTCACCCGAAATGTCCCTCTGCAGTTCTATGTTAATTTCTTTCTCTGTTAACCTCCGTGCAATTGCGATTAATGCGTGTAATATTGATGAAATAATTTCACATCGGGTCGCCTCTTTGGCCTTAATATCATTGGTTTTACATTCGTTAACCGTAGTATTATTTCGTTCATGCATTATTCGAGGGCTTTATCGCCATCATCGATTTCCTCGAAAACTATATAACAGGAAAACATTAGCATACACCTATATTCGATCGTCATGGTTTTTTCCGATCACTTTTGCCAAGAAAAGCTTTATTAACGCAGGAAGTAGAAGAAACATTAATATTTGGATACCACCTGGTTTTATTTTTTCAGCAGTTAATATTTTTGCACATAACATCATAACGTAGTATAAACTTCGCAAAAATACAGTGATAAAAATATTATAATTTGTTTGCAATAGCTAATAAGTCCACCAATTTAACCCGCTTATATTCGTCCATTTTTTTTTGTCCTATTATTCTTTTTCCCAGGTGAGATCTTTATCAATATTAGAATCATCATCACTTGATTCGGAAATAGTATTTGTGACGTAAGTATATATCCTTTCAGTACTTGAAATAATTATATCCTAATTTTCAAGGACGTTAATTACATCAATGTATAATATATATGCAATATTTCATTCCAAACACTTACTCGCATCATCCACAGATTTGAGACGAACTTTGGCAACTCCTTGAAGAGCAAAAACGGTATAGTCGGGCAAGAGAACATTTTTTCTAGTTTGAAATAGTAAACGCCAGCAAAGGGCAAACACATACTATAAATATAAAAGTTATGGTCTATAGGGATTTATGAAAAGAAAAACATTAGTTTATATTGAAAATAGAATATTCATCTAATACATAGAGCTTACCATATACTTGAATACCATATACTTTTATCCTCCTAAAGTCTTCATAACAACCCGAATATTTGGTTTTAATGTAGTTTATGATAATCTTGAGCATCTTCGCGATTTTATTTTTATCTCCAACGTAATGAGTATGATCAAGACGTGTTGGAGATCCCGAAACTTCTAAGACTGAGATCTCTAAATCTAGATCCACCATTGATATGATTGCGTCAATTCCATTGCCAGAGCATCGTCGATCATTATCTTTTAATGACTGGTTAAGCAAAATGGCAGAAGATCGCAAAGTTTTTTCTTTCCTATTGTATGATAAATAAACAATAAATAAAAACAATGCTAGTGGGCATTAAAAAATATAAGACCATTCTAACTCACCAGGCTTGTCTCAAAAATTTCTTGTCTTTAAATAATATAGTATAGACGCGAGAAATAAATCTAATTATATAATCACTTTCGGTTTGATCTTCTTTAAAATAGTTTGCACCGTCTGGAAACTGATTCCGACTATAATAATGCGAAGTTGTACATTAACATAAAATCCGATCAAAAAAAATTCACCACAGAATACTTACTAGGCTTTCATCAATCCCAAGACTCGTCTCTTCCATTTTATGTTACCATCAATCCGCAACTTTGCACGCTCCTTTTTTATGGCTTCACGCAATTTCTTTGCTGAATTCTAATGAAACAGGTATCAATAAACAAATTCATTTATTCTTAAAAATAACACATAATTACCACATTTGTTGAGATGTATTTTGTATATTGCTTTATTTCTTTTGACTGCCCATCTTGTTCTGTATCTAAGGTGGAGGCAGATGCCGAAGCTAATTGTGTTGTAGAACTTGATGTTAAAAGTTTTTCTACAGTGCTGATGATATCATCCCAATGCTCGTTGAAAAGCTTTCGTGCTTCCGTTGCAGATGAAGTAGTTGTGTCGATAATATTGTAGCGCATTAAACTGTAAAACAAAGTTATCATTAGAAGATAGTAATCAAGGTGTATAATAATATAGACGGGAACGATAAAACCAAATAAACATACTCTTGCTTGTGTATTTCTCCAACGTACTTTGACGATTTACGCCATTTCTCCATTGCTGACCGGATGCATACATCATTAATAGTTAATTTACAATCAATAATAGAACCAGGGTTTTCCTGTAAAAGACTGTCTTCTAACTCCTCTTCATGAATATCATCTTCATCTAAGGTAAATACATTCTCCTCATTATCATGGTAATTATTCACGTCTTCTTGAACTTGATTAATAATGGTTTTATTAGGCGTCACATTAAGCGTTAAGGTATGTGTTAGACATGGCGTGCTTTCTTGAGAACTAGAGTCATCACGGACATATTGTGATCTTGATTTTTTATTCTTGATAGATTTCAAAAGTAGTAGTATTGGATGATTTATGCATATAATCTGGTAAAAAAAAAAAAAAAAAAATCACGTTACCTTAGGTCCGTCTAAACTCCCTAAATCTGAATCTGAGCTTGAGGATTCAGTGGCAGATTGTTGAGATTCTATCACCTGTGAATAACGGGCATCACTTTCTCTCTTTATCCCCTTGGGTTCATTAGATTCGCAATGATTTGGGGTCTAAAGTGGAATGAGGTTTCAGCATTATGACATCAAGATTAGGCGTAATGAGGTGTAATAGTCAACATACTAACCTGTTTGGGGCAAATCTGGTCCCTCAGTTCGTTCTTCGTTTATACAGAATTTTATAAAAACAGATTTGTTTAATAGATTATATATACGCAACCATTGTATTGTTTATTATTCACTTACCCTTTTATGTTGTTTTATTATTTCCTTCCAGTATGCTTTTAAGCCATTCCCACCTCGCTCTGATTTTACCTATAACGAGATAGATATGATGTTAATGTATTGACTCTTTTATTTGGTTATAAAGAAAGGTTCATAGCCGGTTCCTCCTTCGTAGCTGACAGTCCTATAATGTTTGAACTTGAACAAAGTTTGAGTGCCTGAGTTAAGAATGCTGGAGTGGGTACCAGAATTAAAAACCCAGTAATTAATTCTCCTGAGCCAAGGCACATATGTGACTCTACTAGGAGTTACCCTCCCTATGTTCTCAACGGGTCCAAAACAAAGTTTGAGTGCCCGAGTTAAGAAAGCTGGAGTGAGTACCAGAATCAAAAACAGTAATTCTCCTGAGCCAAGGCACATATAGTATGTGACTCTACTAGAAGTTACCCTCCCTACGTTTGAACCTGAGCAGAAATTGCTAATAACAATTTACCCGGGCATCTGGGTTAAGAAAGCTGGAGTGGGTACCAGAATCAAAAACCCAGTAATTCTCCTGAGCCAAGGCACATGCAGTATGTGACTCTACTAGGAGTTATCCTCCCTATGCAAAATAAAAAGAAAACGCACCTTCTCTTTTAAATTTTCTTGACCTCCAAATCTTTCTGCTTCTCGTAGAAAATTAGCGGCCCAACAATTGTCAAGCTCTTTCCAGTCAGAGTTCACAGACAAGGAAGAAATTATGACCTCTCGATTAAGTTCGAGGAAACTGCGATACGACTTGTTGTTTTGGGCTTGTAAATAGTCGATTAGAGCTAAGAAGTTAAATATTGATTAGAAATTGAATATGTCAGATTGCAATTTATAGAACTTACCGTTATACCCGACGTATGGTTCGTTTTCAGACATCATTTGTGAAAATAACTAGATATTTAAATTTTGCTCCTAATTTTATTTTGTCAAAAAAAAAAGTCGGCGCGTCCTCAAAAGCAAAAACAAATTTTTATTGGCTAATAGTGATTAACATTTATGATTGGCACATATCACATGATAGAGTGATCGAGGGATTAACCTGGTCGTTACGTATATCTTTATTTTTTTCTTGAAAATATTGCGAGAGAAGCAGGATTTCAAGGGAGGAAATGAAAATATGAAAAATCATACTCTGACGGCCCCTGGCCCCTCGAAAAGCGAGAATGGCAGTTCCTTTCCCGCTACTCACTATTACGAGTAACTGTTTTGCTATCGATTCAAGCACCTACTTTATCTAATTTACTGCCTTTTAAATCATTAATTCTACGATAACAATTTTTGATTATATCTTTATCATCCCAATATTAAGAGTATCAACGGCTACAATATCACATATATCATCTCGCCTTCTCATATATGCTCGAAGCCAGAGAAAAAGTTAACAACCACATCTCATAGCCTTCATTCAGTATTAATGGATCACAACATGTTGTTATCCTTTTCCGAACATGAGAGAAAAAGGATTCCTAAAGTTACAGTATATCCGAAAATGATCGTCGGCTCGAATCCAAGGAATTTGATGAAGTCTCACTTTGCTGATCAGATCCTTTCCTATTAACAATCTGGACAAGGGAGTGTCGTTGATTGATTTCGCTCTGGAGCATCCTGCCGACCGATTCGAAATCAGTTGCGATTCGACTAAAATTATTATGGTAGGCTAACTTGTTCAATTTAGCATCACGGGAACTGATTTTTGTGGCAAGATTGTTATTAGTTTTGGTTCTGATCTTACCGATTTGTTCAGCAATAGTAGTGTTGATCTTGGTTTCATGAGTGTTTGTTTCATTGGCATTTTTTTGCTTTACGTCCCACAGGAAGAATCATATGGTGATGAACCCTATACACAAGTGGATATTTTCAGGGTATATCATCCCAACGACGAAAAACAAATAAGCGGTTAAAGCCATAAAAAGAATATTTCCCAAAACGTTGAATAGATGCATCTATGCAAAGAAAATCCGATTAGAAAATTAATCGTGGGGCGTGAATATTTAGCGGAGCAAGTACAATGTGCTAAAATAAGTGGAGATACCTTTGATTTATGGTAAGTTTGATGAGTTTGTTTTTGCAATTGTTACCTTGATTTTGTAGAAGGGTGCTTAACAGAAAATATTGCATCTTTTATAGGCGTCATGTTTGATCATCATTTATTTCACGTAAAGTGAAGAAAATGCGAGAATGACTTTTTAACTTGACAGTAAACGTAATCAGTATTAGCATTTCTTTATATCAATAGCATATATTCTTGCGTAATCATGTAAATCATTCTACAGACTAAGAATGGACGTTAGTTTAATTTAATTAGCGAGAGATTATGTAATGCTGATACACCATCTCCAAAAAGAACGCAGCACCTGATCAGCGATCTTTAAATGTTAAAATTTTATGTAGGTTAAATCAGATAATGATAAAATTTATAATATACAGTGGTGGCGGAAAAAAATGATAATCAGGTGATATCATTTAATTTGTTCAATATTTATTTAAAAAAATCAAAAATTTAAACATAGATAGCCTAAAATATATTTTTTAATTACTAATACATTGTTTTATTACTTTTATTATTAATTACTAATTTTAAATGCTTTGACATAACTTTCCATCAATTTTTTCCCACTAATTTCTTATTATTGACACAAAAATCTCTTGTGTTATGGTTTTTTCCTTATAAATCCTTTTGTTGATTTTTTTTTTTACTCTTTTCAATTGGAAATAATAAGGATCAATCAAGCAGATGTGAACATCAATTATTCAATAAAGTGATTATAAGCTTAGCATGATGCTTAGGATCATTATCTTGTTGAAATGTTTATGTATTATTCAGAATTTGATTTGCTTATTCAAATAAATTTTGATGTAGTATTTTGTGATATTGCTTATCATCCATAGTTTCTATAAAAGTATGAAATCAGATTATTCCCTTCTCACAAAACGTTCTTCATACATACACTTTAAATAAATGTTTTATGCTTTTGCAAGTTAGCTTCTGTTCCCCTGCTTTATAATGAATTTGAGTCATATTCTAAAATATCTGAAAGATGACTTTATAAAAAAAAACTATAGTATTCTATCATTTTTTTGATATTTTTTTGTTCAATTAACATATGTTGTTTGATCAATTTTGTAAGAAAAGAAATTTTGCGCAGAATGCAAACCTTATAATCAAGTTTTGGAGATTTTTCTATATCATTTGTGGTGTAATATTTAGACTTGAGTAAGTGTTATTAAGGGTTTTGGTTATCTTTTTACTTGTTATACTCTTTTTTTTTTTGCTATAATTCAATCAAAATATTTTTTTTGTACAAGGCTAAGTTTTGCTAAACATTCTGAACACTTGTATTATTTAAGATATTTTGTTTACTTGAGTTGAACAGTTCATTTATATAATATTTTAATAAGAAATCCAGTTATTCTTTGAATTTGACAACTTTCCTATATCTATGTTTCTATAACAACTTAATGAAAAGATAATGTTTTGCAAGAATACTCATATGTAATATTAGCAATACTAAAAATTTTTTATTTTATTTTAGATATTATAATCAACTTATTTTTAACCAGTTTTAATGTTAATATAATGTGAAAAAATATATAGTAACTTAATTTTTAAAAAAATTAAAATTGTTATTTTTTTTGTTACTACTGTATATAAAATATAAGTATACTTAAATAATGTATAAGTTAAAATATATAAATATTCTATCTTATAATAAGTAAAACATTCCTATATATTAATATTATTTTTATTAAATTTATTTATAAGAATTAAGATTTTCTTCAGCAATATTTATATCCTTTAACTTCAAAAGGTTGAAATTTAATTTTATTAAATCAAATCATTATACTTCAATTTTTTATAATCTAATTTTTATGTAATTTTATAAATTTTAATCAGATTTTTTACTTTTTACTTAAAAAAAATTTCTTGTATCATATACTGTATATACTTTAAATTCATTTTTTTAAGAATTTTTCAAATTGTATTAATATTAATATTTATTTTTTCATATTTTATCAAGAAATTATATATACAGTATTTATAGTTCTTTTATATACAGTGTGGTGCAAAAAATTTTGGAATTTTTTATTTATTCATTACTCAAAAACTACTGTATAGAAATTAATAA